TCGCGGGGACCAGCTAGTTTATAAATAAATATAAAAATAATTATTAAATTCATCCTCCATATCTTCTTCTTCTTTACTTTATGGCTTCTTCTACCAATGTCAAGTCGGTAATGGAAGTGACACCATATCATCCCATGATACGAGATCAGCAGCAACATCTACCTGATAAAAACTAAAAATAATATAAAATTGCGGTTTCCAAACCGCCAAGGTGGCAACAATGGCATTCCCCCCTTTGATTATTTTTATGGGAGAGGTAGCAGGCAGCGGAGGAGTTCAGCAGTGGACTTTTGATAGGCTGTTATTATGATACAAATAATTAGTTATTTCATAGCCTGTTCATTTTTTATAGCATAAGGGTGATAAACGAACACAGTCCACCAGATGGTAAGTGAATGCTGTGGCCCATATACATCTACACCTATCCTCGATTACGAATCAAAATGCAGATGTGTTGTCACCCTTGAGGACTAAGGTGGAATGCCTCGTTTCCAGTATAAATGGTCTTCGGATCTCTATACGGATCTACTTCGGATCCCTATAATACGAAACACAGCAGCGTTAAGTTGCTATTTTAGGCTGGTATTCTGTGAGAGCGTGGTCTTTCCCCGGTCGCGCCGACCCATTCGTGCTACAACTATATTATTAATATAGCTGCAGCATGGCTCTACTACCTATTACTGGTAATTGGCACCATACGTTTTATAAAGACAAGTTTTCTTATTATTTTCAACATTGACGCTTTGTATAGAAAACAAACAATCAGTAAATGAGTATTTGCATATCATATTAGATTAGATAACTATAATATCGTAATCTAATACATATTATGCATTAATACAATACTGAAAATTATTACTCTTTTAGAAAGTACCAAGCCAGTTTTGGTTTCAAAAACAAAATTAAAAAAATTTCACAAAATGGCTTCAAAGGTCGGTTCTAAAACATTATTAATGTATAAAATAATTAAAACTACTTTAACAGCTGTTGATTAAAAATTGAAAATTTTGACCTTTGAGTGCACATCACACACTCAGTGGAATGGAACACACAGAGTGGAATGTCACAAACTGAAGGAAACATTTAAAATGTCATCTAAATAGTTGCATAAATTTCACCTCAATTTTACCTCCACCTTTAACCCTTTAATTCGTAAAGTTGAGAATACTCAACATTCGAAATAAATAAATCCTGTATGAAAACTTGAACGCGTAGAAAAAATATTTTTACTTTGAAAAAAAGGTGAAACGAAAAGCAACTCGTAAAAAGAAAGTTGTGTGTCACAAACGTCAGATTTTGACAGTGGCGGCAAAATGGCATCACGTTCATCTGCACCGTTTGGACCTAAGGTAAATAAAATTTATTATTAGCAATTTAAATCATATTGATACCTATTATTGCCTTGCATTTCAATTTTAAATTATTATTTTATGCACGTAATGAAAAAAAGCCTGAAAATATTGTGGTTTAGTATGTGTTTGATGGTTTTCAAGTTGAATGTTGAATATACTCAACAATGCGAATGTTACTATTATTCACCTGATTTTTTCTATGTTGAGTATTTTCAACATTGCGAAATGCTTTAGGTTTTGTCCTATAACTTAACATGATGAGTATATTCAACATTGCGCGTGTACTAACATTTATTCCCCTCTTATCTGAGACCCTATTATTGTTCATTTTTCGCTTTGGTTTTGGATGCCCTACGTTTTTTGTGTTATTTTGCTTCAGAAAATGCTTAAATGGCAACGCACGCAAAAAATTATGGCGCTTGTACCTCCCGCAAAAGCACCCTCCGATGACAGCAGCACATCTGAAGATGAAGTTATAATCAATAATTACACAAAACCGAAAAAACAACAATCATCTGACTCAGAACACAACTACGAATCATCTGAACCACGTTCTTATCCCTCTGAAATTGATGACTTAAGCTTAGATTCACATTCCGAAGATGAGATTCCTGCGACGCCATCACCTAGGCCACTACAGCTACAAAATGAAAGCAAGTCATACTTACCCAATTCCAAAGAAAATTCTCGTCCGACGACGCCTCCATCGCCAACTCCGCCTCAACAAAATGATTGCAACATACCTGAAGTACCATGTTCTGAAGTCCAAACTCCGATTTCGTCTGCGTCGATGCCACAAGATATAATGAATGATTCCATACTCCACATACCAACAATTCCCTTGTCTCCTTTAATTAACCAAATGTTTTCACCAGGCCCGTCAAATCAGCCGCTCCCATTCACACTGAATTCGGTCTCATCAGTATTATCACCTAACATGTCTCCAGCAGCACCTAATACACGTTCAAAGCGACGACAGAACACAAAACCTAAACACCCAGCGGCAAAAAAAGTAAAGAAGTTTGTAAGAAAACCTCTATCATTCAAATTCAGAGCAGGAAAACTACAGTACGCAGCTATATTTGAACCACCGAAACACGATTTCTCACCCGATCCACATCATTCAATCTTAGATTATTTCACTGACTTTTTTTCAAATGACATATTCGAATTAATAGTAGAACAGACAAACTTATATTCAGTTCAAACCGATTCGAGATCTATAAATATAACAAACGATGATGTGAAAGATTTCATAGCGATTACACTCATTATGGGGGTAGTGAAAATGCCCTCTTACAGAGATTATTGGAGTCGATTTTTGCGATATCCAGCTGTCGCTGATATCATGCCTTTAAAAAAGTATGAGAAAATAAGGAAATATTTACATTTCGCCGACAACAGCAACATTAACGACGACCGTTACTACAAAGTTCGACCAATTATTGAAAAAATTAGGCTTAATTGCTTAAAAATGAAGGAGGAACAACGCTACAGCGTCGACGAAATGATGGTCCCATACAAAGGGACAAGAGCGGGAAGTAGGCGCCAATATCTACCTAAAAAACCAAAAAAATGGGGGATGAAGTTATTCGTTCGAGCAGGCGTCTCTGGTTTAGTGTATGATTTCATTCCTTATGGTGGAGAAGACACGTTTAGAAATCATTCTTTTACTGAATACGAGGAGAGCCTCGGTCTTGGAGCAAAAGTTGTGCTAGCACTTTGCAAGACCATTGAGGATAAACCTGCAGTCGTATATTTTGACAATTTCTTTACGTCATTGGAGCTAATTCACCATTTGCGTCAAGAATACGGTATTTTTAGTCTTGGTACCATAAAAAGTAATCGTTTGAGAGGTTGTCAAAATAAACTACTAGCAGATAAAGTTCTCGCAAAAAAAGGACGGGGTGCAAGCTCCCAGATCGTCTGCAATGACACGAAACTTGCTGTTGTCAGATGGTATGACAATAAGCCGGTGACATTGGCTAGTTCATTCGTCGATTCCCATCCAATGGGAAAGATTCAAAGGTATTCCAAAGATACAGAATCTAGGGTGGAGGTCAATTGTCCTCAGATTGTGAAGCAATATAATGCCCATATGGGGGGCGTAGACTTGGCGGACATGCTTATCGCTCTATACCGTTCAAACTTTAAAACTAAGAGGTGGTACATGACCATGTTTTCACAATCTCTGGATATTTGCGTCAACAATGCTTGGTTATTACATAGGAGAGATCATGCTGATCCTAAAGACCGGTTACCTCTCAAAAAATTTCGGATACAGATAGTATCTGAGCTTTTACATAAAAACAGAACGAGGGTGACAGTGAGTCAGGAAAACGATCCTCCTAAAAAAATAATTACTCCAGCTGCTCCAAGACCGACTGATGCTATACGATATGACAACAATGGACATTTACCCATGTTTGTGTCGTATGGACGGTGCAAATACTGTAAAAATGGGTACACAAATATTACTTGCTCAAAATGTATCCTCAGGCTGTGTCTAGTTAGTAAGAGAAACTGTTTTTATAATTACCATGTTAAGTAATAATATGTGAATTTGATTTTTTCTACTAAGGCTGTGTCTAGCCAACTTATTCTATGATTAATTAATAAGAAATAAAACTTTATTTGATTTTCTCTATAGTTTGTTCTTTTATTTTAATATATTAGTAAACTACCTTTACAAGGGCAATGTTGAAAATACTCAACGCTCAATTTATTAGGTAATGTTCCAATATGTCGCGCAATGTTGAGTATTTTTAACATACGATATTTGATAAAGTATACAATAATAATAATAATTTCTATTTTTTTTGGCTATAATTAGTCAACATTAATGCAATTAAACAGAAAAAAACATGTTTACATAACTTTTATTTTTCTGCGCATTAAAGGGTTAAAGATAGATTTTTTTTCCAAATTTATATGAGACCACAAAAGAACAGTCTCATTACAAAATAAAAATATTTTTGAAGTCTGCTATAAATATTTTGATACTACATGATTCGAATTAACAGTTTTTAAATTTATAAGTAAAATAAAATTTGTGATAAAGGGCAGTAATTCGTGACTGCCAGGTACATCATCTAATGAGGGGGGCATCCACGACTTTTTCTACCACCAGGGCGGCGCCACTTAAAAGTGAGGTATAATATTTGACAGATTTCATAGCACGGAAGTTAATTTGTTCGGAAAATGTAAAGGTTAATGTTTCTTTCTATACTATTAGCTATATTTTATATTAATAAGAATAAAAATAACTAAACCCAACCATAGATATTCATAAAAGTAGAAAAAATAAAAAAAGGGTTTAAATGCAGCAAGGGTGCAAAAAATTAAAGACCAAACCACCGAGACATTGTTTTGTATAATTAATATAATACACTAGAAACTTATAAACTTTTATTAAAAACTAACTTCCTCAATTAAATGCATTGTGTAGCAAAAAACTTTACCTCAGTGTCAACTAGCGACATCTGGTGAGCAGAAAATTATTAGCCCTCATTTTTTGGAGTCGTTATGATGTTAACAACTTTTAAACATAACAAAATTATATAAACAGTATGGAAAATATAATAAGAAAACTACACTGAGGCGAAATCGTCGTAGCATGTCCTATTTTATATGCGTGTTTGTCCAAAGCATCAGGTCCGGACTCGGAGCCGGGCCCCCTGTCGCAGCCTAATACTGTGGGTTGGGACGACACCGCGGCCGAGCAACAACCCGTGGAGGAGAAGAAACCGGAGATAAAACGATTCATGCTGTCTTCTAATGTAGATGTAAGTTCATTTCATGCACTTTTCATTTATAATATTCATATAGATTTCATTTTATGTTGTGTATATTTTATTACCACATTTTTATTAGCTCTCTTTCGTATACATATATCTGTTCGGGTCGAATTTAATGATTGATTTTAAACTAACCTTCCAATGAGCTAGACATGAAATTTCGAACATAGGTCAGAATCGGATAACTATGGAAGAATATGAAAATAAAACCAGGAATATTTTTTTTACATAATTTAAAAAAAGTAATTTGTTGAAAACAACATCAAATTAGCAGTATTATAAGATCAAGTAAAATTTGAAAACTTGCATTAACTTACTTTTACTTACTTACTTACTTTGTTTTTACGCGTGTTTTACCTGACTGTCCAGAATAAGGTAGCTGTAACGTAAACATTTTGATGGATTTTATATTTATTTTTTATATTATACATATGAGTCATCGTAAGATTGGTCTTAATTGTGGGAGTGATATATGGTATAACATTTTTTCTCTTTTCAGTAAATTTTTTTATGATGTCGGGTTTTTTAAATTACTGCTTTAGGCGCTGCGCAAACCTAGAGACTTTTGTCTTGTGTGGTATACAAGGTACCAATGAATATTTTCTTTTCATGTAATCAATATGAAATCAGCCATTTCTTGCCCAGACGCGGACACTTTTTGTGTCCAGTTGCTTCTGCTTGACACATACCGACCGCCAATCAAACAGTGTTCGGTGTAGGTAACTCGAAACTTTAAGTGGTCAGTTGAAAACACACGCAACACAAAGCAAATTTCTTTACAAATTGTATGGCGCTGACATTGACGTGGTTGATTTGCCTGTAAATATTGACGGCGACGACGTATACGTCAACATGTAATCAACACAACAAGCAAAGGTAATGTTCCTCCATTAAAATCCAAGGTGAAACTGACGGAAAACAAGCAAGGAATTGTTACCAGTGTCTAGAAGTAGCAACCGGCGACTGTGTGTAACAAATAGTGGTAACACGTTTGCGCGGCGCCTTAGCCCTTAAGCTTGTGTTCTTATTAGAGTTCTTACTTAATTCCAACGAAATGTCTTTTGGAACTTTCACCGAAATACCTTTTATTACAATATGATGGTGTAACTGATGCCCCACTAGATGAAGTGACGACCTGGTAAGACATGCAGGAAGTCGATGTATGCAGGTGGCTCAGTATCGTGCTTTGTGGCATTCTTTAGGGGAGGCATATCTTCAGCAGTGGACTTGTCTTTTAATAAATATCCTCGCAGATATTTTCTCTATAGGTTCGACGTGAACAACACCTAAAACATCACTACTACCACAGTCTATAATTATACTGTGCTACTACTATGTAGTATCAGTAATGATAATACACAGTACTAGTATCCGTCCAATTCTCGACATTCGACCATGTTTCATTCAATTTTTAGGTTTGTATATTAAGCTAGCTGTATTTTACTTTCAAAAATTAAATATAAAATATACAAATTATAAAATAACGCTTTTTTGCATTGTTATCACTTCACAGACCATTTAAAAAAGGAACACTAGAAAACACAAAATTCACAGCTTAGTAAATCTGCATATAACTATTTTGTTGGCAACATCTTAAAATTCTTTGGTGACAATTTGTACTCTGTGCGAGTGTTTGACAATAGACTATTATGTGTACGTAAACATCGATTGTGTTTTGTATATGTAACATGTATTATTTTTATAAATTTTAGCTTTCTACACTCCTATTAAAATATCTATAAACTTTGACAGGGGTTTGCCATGCTTTGAAAGGGGAACAAAGTATTTTTTTTATAGGTGAGTGGTTGCTGTGGCCCATAGACATCTACATCTATCCTCGTTTGCGAAACAAAATGCAGATGCGTTGTCACCCGTAAAGACTAAGATGGAACGCCTTTTTTCCAGTAAAAAGGGTCTCCGGTAGAGGTTTTCTCTTTACGTACTAATATATAGATTCTTTCTTAAAAACATCAGCGCTTAAAATTGCGATTGACATTTCATTGGGACCGGCAAGAAGCGAATCCAATTCAGTGGTATATAATTATTATATAATATAATATATTCGCATTGCTTCAGAATCGCGAGGAGATAACGTCTATGATCCTACACCTGGGCGGCGTAGTTTCCGAAGGCGCTGAGCTGGACCCCCTCGCGACTCATCTGCTGTGTGCGGCGCCGGGCCGCAGCGAGAAGATGCTGGGCTCCGTGGCGGCCGGGCGCTGGGTGCTGCACCCTGCGTACGTGGCGCGCAGCAGGGCGGCCGGCACCTTCCTGCAGGTGAGTGCAGCGAGTGCAGCGAGGAGATGCTGGGCTCCGTGGCGGCCGGGCGCTGGGTGCTGCACCCTGCGTACGTGGCGCGCAGCAGGGCGGCCGGCACCTTCCTGCAGGTGAGTGCAGCGAGTGCAGCGAGGAGATGCTGGGCTCCGTGGCGGCCGGGCGCTGGGTGCTGCACCCTGCGTACGTGGCGCGCAGCAGGGCGGCCGGCACCTTCCTGCAGGTGAGTGCAGCGAGTGCAGCGAGGAGATGCTGGGCTCCGTGGCGGCCGGGCGCTGGGTGCTGCACCCTGCGTACGTGGCGCGCAGCAGGGCGGCCGGCACCTTCCTGCAGGTGAGTGCAGCGAGTGCAGCGAGGAGATGCTGGGCTCCGTGGCGGCCGGGCGCTGGGTGCTGCACCCTGCGTACGTGGCGCGCAGCAGGGCGGCCGGCACCTTCCTGCAGGTGAGTGCAGCGAGGAGACGCTGCTGACGCTGTTCATAGATATTCACTCATACACACACTTGCATTAAGCAATTAAAAAAAGTATTGGTTGTTAACCGCAGGAAGAAGAGTTTGAATGGGGCAACCCGCGCGCCAGCTGCCTGCCGGCAGTGTCCGGGGCGGAGAGGAGCCTGGCGCAGGCCGCGTACCGCTGGCGGGCGTGCCGCGTGGCGGGGCGGCCGGGCCCGTTCGCGGGCGTGGTGGCGCTGCTGCACGTGCCCGCCGCCAGGAGGCGCCTGCTGGCGCGCCTCGTGCACGCCGGCGACGGACTGGCCCCCGACGACGAGTGAGTACAGCTCTACATTCATTCGTTCATTCATTCATTCACTATCCGAAACGGAGAGGAGCCTGGCTTAGGCCTCGTACCCATCGCCAGAAGGCACCCAACCGACGGACGGACTGACGCCCGATGACCAATGAGCTAGACATGTCGGTGTCAATCGTGAACGAATAGTTCATTTAACCCGGGTACTCAATTGTTGATTGTAATCATATTTTATTGAAAGATCCGGAACAAATATTGACAGAAACTACAACCTGTGGGTCCGCGCAAAAAAATTAAAACCCTAAATTACACGCGGGCGAAGTCGCGACGAACAGCCAGTTCATAATTGTGTTAATCGCTACGATCAATCTATATTATGAGACAGAAACGCTTGTGTGTGAGTTTGAGTTTGAGATAATCAAGATAATAACTTGCATATTATATTATCACTTAATATATGAAATAAATAAGCATTTCATTTATTAAATTGTAAAGTTTATTTAAAATTTAATAATTTACACAAAATATTCCCATCCTAAGAAGAACATACAGTCAGTCAACGCGTTTGATATTGTTGGATAAGCCGACATAAACAATATATTGCTAGGGTTCACAACCTTAGACCGCGTCTCGCCTCGCACTGCACTGCACGATTGCCCCGTCTAGACGCCTTCTATGACCGACTGTTAGTAGTAAGTAGACAGTGCAGTAACGTTCAGGATAAATATGATAACGGTAAAATGAAGTATTTGTGTGTTCGGTCGAAACTGAACGAGAGAACTGCTGGGGTCACACAGATCACAGTACTGATGATGACCCGAAATGATCCATTTGAACGATCGACCCGGTTCGTATCGGTCATTAAAAATTAGAATTGTATACGTGGTAGAGCCATGCTGCAGCTATATTAGTAGTATAGTTGTAGCACGAATGGGTCGGCTCGACCGGAGAAGGACCACGTTCTCCAAGAATACCAGCGTAAAGTAACAGCTTAACACTGCTCGGTTTCGTATGGTGAGTGTAGAGAACCGGAGACCCTTTTTACTGGAAAAGAGGCATTCCATCTTAGTCCTCACGGCTGACAACGCATCTGCATTTTAATTCTCAATCAAGGATAAATGTAGATTTCTATAGGCCACAGCAACCACTTATCATCAGGTGAACTGTGTGCTCGTTTGTCACACTTATTCTATAAAAACAAAATGCTCATAGTTGCCAAACTTGACAGGTGAGTTGGCAACAACAGTTGTTTAATATTTTATATTGTTATCAGGAAAATGTTTATTATGTATAATATATTATTATATAAAATTACTTGTACTGCAAATACTGTGTATAATATTATGTTTTGATACCTATTAATTCTCTCCACCAGGCCTCCATACAACAATGAAAACATTACGGTCTGCTTCGCTGATATCAAGCGTTATCCACTATCAGAGAGGGACTCTACCTGGCTCAAATCAAGGAAGATTCCCGTTTGCCCACCAGTCCTTCTCAGTTCCTATCTAACCGAAGAAACCAGACCGAACCCGGAACAGCACTGCTTACCTGAATTTAGAACTAAATAGTACAAATTAATGTAAAAATATATATTTTAACAAACATAAAATTTTTACTGTACAATCAATGGTTTTATTTTGAGTTTTGGTATGCTATCAAATAAATATATTCGATTTAACTAGATTGACTTCACAATTAACTCACCATCTTTTAGTGATTACGCTTAAGGCGAGGATTTTCGACTTTAAAACGCTTTTAGCGCTCCCTTCTTCGCCGCATGCATATTTGTCCAGCACAAAATAAGCATGCGATATTTGGTGAAATAAAGTCATTTTCTACCGGCTTCAAAAAGGAGAAGGTATTCATTTCGACAGAGAGTGTTTTTTATGTTTGTTACCTCATAACTTTTTTCTAATTAAACCGATTTCGATGATTCTTTTTTTATTTGAAAGCTGGTGCTTCTCATGTGGTTCCATATAAATTTGATCACGGAGTGGATTGTACAAAATTTTTAATTTTACCACTAGTATTTGTCATAGTTTTGCTTATTACGAGGAATAAAAATCTAAATAAAAATGTAACCGATTAAAAATCTAACCGAATAACATATATGCCATGTATGGCTTTCATATTATCGGAAAATATTATATGGTTATTATTAAAAAAAAAACGAGAATACGAACGTCAAAGTATTTCCCAGCCATAAATATATAATCTTTTTATTTCGATTAATATAAAGTATTTTAAAAATCTATTAGATCAAGAATATAATTGAGTATTTCATTTACGTCCATATTTTTGGCCATATGCAGTAGTAAGAAGTATCAATTATTATCGTGCGTCAAAATCGTTAATGTTCAAGTAAAGTAAGTGTGCGCAGGAATTACATGACATTTTTTTTATAGGAGAGGGGGCAAACGAGCATGCGGCTCACAAGACTACCGCCGCCCATGAACAACCGCAACACCAGGGGAATTGCAGATGCGTTGCCGGCCTTTTAAAAAGGAGTAGGCTCTTTTCTTGAAGGTCCCTAAGTCGTATCGGTCCGGAAAAATCGCTGGTGGTAAACTATTAAACAAGGAAGTAGTGCGAGGAAGAAAACATCTTCTAAATCGCACAGTGGTGGACCGCCAATCATCCAGATGGTGTGGATGGTATCGGGAGTTCTGCCGCGATGTGCGTTCGTGAAATTTGGCGGCTGGAATTAATCTGAACAATTCCTCAGAGCACTCCCCGTGGTAAATGCAAAAGAAAATGCAAAGAGATGCAACATCTTTTCGCAGCGCCAATGAGTCGAGCCGATCGGAAAGGACTTGGTCGTCGACGATTCGAGCCGCTCTGCGCTGGATGTGTTCAAGTAAAAGGAGCTGGGGAGCCCCTGCCCAACATACAAATTACCCTGCCCTGCCCTGCATAATTTCTAGGGAAGCCCATAGGAAGGGAGCTTCGAAAGAAGCGCTTTGTGTCAAACCCGATCGAAGGCCTTCGCAATGTCCAAACTAACGGCCAACGCCTCCCCTCCGCCCTCCTACGCCCTCCCCCTTGGACTCTACTGCCTCCGCCCAACTATGAGTCAGGTCAGGAAGACCACCAGCTGATCGACCCCGACGAAAACCGTACTGGCGGTCACTAATCAGCTGGTGATCCTCAAGGTACCGCATGAGCTGGCAGTTAATAATGGATTCCATTATTTTGGAGAACAAGGATGTGATGGCGATAGGCCTGTAGTTGGACGGGTCTGAGCGGTCGCCTTTTTTAGGGATCGGGTGGACAAAAGCTGTCTTCCATGATTTCGGGACTACGCCTAGGGAGTAGGAGTACCGGAAAAGACGCGTTAGAACCGGTGCCAACTCCGGAGCACACGTCCTCAGTACAATTGGGGGGATTCCACTCGACTTGTGGATGTCCAGGGAGAGGAGTGCTCTGCGAACCGAGCGCTGTGAAAACAGCACATTCGGCATGGAGCACTCACACCGCGGGATGGTCGGCGGTGTGTTCCCCCCGTCATCAACAGTCGAGTTGGACGCAAAAAGGGAGCCTAAAAGGTCGGCCTTCTCTTTCGCGTCGTGGGCCAGTGAGTCGTCCTCCATGTGCAGAGATGGTAGTGATGGCTTACAGAAATTCCCTTGGACAGCCTTGGCGTGAGACCAGAATGCACGGGTTCCCGAAGGAAGGCGAACTAGTTTCTCGCCAATTCTGCCTATGTGCTCTGACTTTGCCTTGGCAATAACTCTTTTGAAGGACCTGGCAGGCGAAGTTATACTTCTTTTTAAGTGGGCTGGTGTTTACATCCCGAGTCGCCGAAGCCGCAGCCCAGGCTAGATAACACTCCTGCTTACTGCGTAATGCAGTCTTACAGGAGCGACCAAACCAAGGCTGAGACCTGCCTCCGATGGGTACCACAGATGATGGAATAAATAGTTACATTCCCTGTAGCACCACATCAGTGACAGAGTCAGCAACAGCGCTGGGATCATCCGGGGAGAAGCAAACCCGCCACCATGGGTAGAAAGCAAAGGAAGACCGCATTTTTAACAGTGGTAGAGCCACGCGGCAGAATTGCTGTCGCACGGATGGGCCGGCTCGAACCGGGGTGGTACCACGACCTCACAGAATACCAGCGTGAAGTAGAGGTTTACCTCTGCGTTTCGCTTGGTGAGTGCAGGTGGCCGGAGGCCCGTTTTACTGGAAATGAGAAATCCATCTTAGTCCTCACGGGTGACAACGCATCTGCATTTTGATTCGCAAATGAGGATAGATGTAGATGTCTATGGGCCACAGCAACCACTTACCATCAGGTGGACTGTGTGTTCGTTTGTCACCCTTATCCTATAAAAAAAAATCCGTCCCGATCCGCCGACCTGTAATGCCAAACACGGCGGCGACACATCGACGGAAACCTGATATCCGTCCAGATGAGATGTCAGCAGAAGGTCCAACAGGGAAGGTGTATGATCCTCAACATCTGGAATCCGCGTAGGCGATGTAATCAGTTGTGTCAGACCATATGCCAAGGCAGTCATAAACAGATCTCCCCGCATGATCGGTTAAACGTGAACCGAGCCATTCGGCGTGGTGGGCGTTAAAATCGCCAAGGATCACGATCTCTGCGGATGGGACCTGTTGTAGCAAGGAATCTGTAGCCATTTGGACGTGGTCGATGAGTCGGTCTGTTTCGGCATTACCGCTATGGGACCTATAGAGGCCGCCGTAGACGCGCGGATGGTCGTCGCTGTCTACGCGTAGCCAAAGGATGGATAGGTCCGAATCTTCAAGACTGCTGAGGCGTCGAGAACAGATGTCCTCTCTGACATATACGCAAACTCCAGCCCGAGGCACAAAAGAGTGCTCCAATTTGTACCCCGGGTAGGTGAGATACGAAGTATCAGCCGGACAGGACACCTGCGTCTCGGTCAGAAAGAGCAAGGCCGGCTTCGCCGTCTCGGGATGGTAGTGGACGGCGTTTAGGTTCAAGTGAAGTCCCCTGATGTTGCAGAAATTCACGGATAGCGTGGCAGGGATCGCCTTGGTCTTTCTGCTTAGTTTGCCCCGAGCAGTTATTGTGTTGAGCGGAATTTTGCCCCCCCCCCCCAGAATACGCGGGGCAGCCTGAGCACCCACGCTCAGGAGTCGAATAGCATGGTCGTGGATGCGCAGCGAGCTATGATGTAATTCCGCTACCATGTTGATGGGGGGGAGGGGGAGATTGGGCCCACCTGCACTCACCAGACGAAACGCGGAAGCAGAGCTTCCACTTCACGCCGACGCCGGTATTCTGTGAGGTTGTGGTACTAACCCGGCTCGAGCCGGCACAGCAAAAGCTGCTACGTGGCTCTACCACCGTTAAAGTACTGTAGTGCGTGTGCGTATTCGTGTGCGTGTGCGCGTGCGCGTGCGCGCCATATAGCTCAAAGAATATGCTTTAATTCCTCGGCTGGGCAGTGTTCGGGAGATTACGACACATCTCGTCAGGCATACCTCAAAATTTTAAAACAAGATGCGTCCAGTGCGTGTTGCCAGTAATGAATGACTGCTGGCTGTATGAAGAAGCTCAAGGTCGCTCAGCAATGCTCGGGGTTTGTTGTTATAGACTTCAAAATGTGGATATCCGCAATAGAACCAGAGTGACCGATATAGCCCAATAGATAAGTAAGCTAAAGTGGCAACGGGCCGGCCATATATCTCGAAGAACTGACAACCGATGGGAAAAAAGGTTCTCGAGTGGCAGCCTCGTACCGGTAGGCGAAATATAGGGCGACCATTCACTAGATGGAGTGACGACCGGGTATGACATGCAGGAAGTCGATGGATGCAGGTGGCTCAAGATCGTTACAGCCTATTACAGTCCACTGCTGCCTTCCCCATAGATTGCCTCATATTTATATATTTATTATAATATGGGGTAATGGATATGCTTACACCGTCACTACACAGTAAACGACTATATTTAAATGAAACTAAAATAAATAATACATTTGGAAAATTCAAAAGTGTATCTACTCGTATGATGGCCAAACTTAGTTTAATATAGATCGCGAGCTTATTTGTTATTTCAATAGTAACTAGGTAAATTCTGCTAACATTTTCTCTCGAAATACCTTAGTATGTTAGTACTTCTTACCTTTAGTTTGTGTTAGGATTGTAAAAGTCGTAATGTGAGTGTGACTTCTGTTATACCGTAAAAACCAACATCCATCCACTGCTTTCGCTGCTTTAATAATATAAACAAAGATAGTAAATTTAATTTGTACTTTCTTTATTCGCAAATGAAGTAAAATTTAGTTTGCACATATTATACCACACACAAGCAACTAGTACATGTTATGACCATATGGCAAATTATATTATGGCAGTATATAATCGTGGCGGCGTCGACCGGACCGGATATGGAGTAAGTATTGAATATTCTTACACCGCCTCTACACGACACTGTAATAGTTACGCTATTATAGTTGCGTAAAAATATTTGTATTTGAGTTTGTTTGAATGCTTATTAAACTAAGAAAGAAATAATGTACGTACAAGAATTATGAAAAAAGGCCTGACAATCGAAAACAAGGGAAATGAG